CACTTGCGAGGATATTTGTTAGCATTTTTCGCCTGAAAAAAACCGAACTCCTCTTTTCCTCTTTTTTTTTCAAAATCCTCTTTTCTTTCAAACTATAGATCCTCTTTTTTCCTCTTTTTTTCCAAACTGTCGGTGGGATACCAGCAAAACATGAAAATAAGTTATCAGGAACAAAGGCAAACTGAATAACTGGAGAATAAAAGTAGAGAATGTTCTAGTCATAGCTGGCTATGTCAACTAAGAGTATATATACAGATGTATCATCCTTACACTATCATGTTACTTGTTCCATATTGAAAAAAATGACAGCATCGAGTGCAACAACAATTCAAGTAAATAACGGTGAGACGCTTTTTTATGAAGAAGTAGAGAAGTATATTAATTCGTTGAGTGAAAATTTTTAGAAAAAAAGTGTAATTAAAGAAAAAGTATATGACGATATTGTTAAATGTTTATTATTACCGAAAGGTAAGCCATCAGACTCGTATTCTTCAACATTTATTTATTGGATAAAACATAATTTCGTTTTGATGAAAATTGTCGGTATTGATATTGCTTGTTGCGTTAAATCTAAAAAGCCAATTTGTATTTATGACGCATTTTATAATGTAATAAGTGAAGGACATGTTGCTGTTTCACATGGAGGTCGTCATAAAACAGTTTCTGAACTTAATTCTCATTATTCATGGACACCACGATTTTGTGTTGAAATATTTTTAAAACAATGTATACCGTGTCAAACAAGAAAGCCGATTAAACAACGTATCATCAGACAATTTTTCAATAATTTAGGTGAAGAAGATCATTATTGTCATTAATCAATATGTAATAATAATAATAATAATAATTATCATTATCACTAAAATTATTGAATAATTGTCCTTTCCTCTAGCCGTATAACTTATACGGCTAGAATGAATTCATTCATTCATGTTATACGGTATAACAACTATAGAAGACACTTTAAAATCGTATTTTGGAGAGATTGTGGAGAACATGGAACTTTATGGAGAAATTCAGATTTTAACGGAGAGCACCAACCTTTTACCTTTATCAGCTGTAATCTCTTTTACACAGGAAAAATTCTAATTTTGTCCGGACTCTCATGTTTTCAAGTTGATCAAAATTGGAATTCTGATTTTGTCCGGACAGAATTGGAATTCTAATTTTGTCCGAAGAAACTCTGGACAAAACTAGAATTCTAATTTTGTGCGGACGAAGTTAGAATTCCAATTCTGTCCGGACAAATTCGGAATTTGACTGAATTCTAATTTTGTCCGCAACATATACATGTATATAAAAGTTATTATAAAACAAAATGTTGTGTGCGGAATAGAAGAATAGAGGAATAGCGACCGACCGACCGGAATACATTTTGACATGCTGCCTAAGTTGCTTCGCAATTCTTTTAAAAATAAATGTCCATAGTGATCATTTGTTTTGATGATTTGTAAGTGTAAGTCGAATTCGTAGAGCTCTTTCTTTTAAAACTATAAAAAGCGTTATTTTGCTGATACGTATTAATTAGTTAATCGACAATATTTTAAAGTTGTAACTTTCATTCCTATCTAAAATAAGTTAATATAATAAGACAAGAGTAAACATTTATGGCCTAATGGTTAAGATATTCGGACAGCTGAATGGAAGATAACAAGTTCGATCGTCGTTAAGTGTAATTTAACAGAATATATGACAATGCAGAAATGTTTAAAAGACTTTGTGAGTTTAGCCTATTCATTGTGTATTTCTGAGTGAGATACCTTAACGTTGGACCAATTTTTCTAACTTTAGCCCTTTACACTACGCTAGTGTTTTCGAGATACTTCCTGTCAAAAATGATAAAATCTTTACTGCTTTCGTTTCTGAATTGAGATTCGGAAGGAGGAAGAGGTTGTTTGCGCAGGATCATGCCACAATAATTTTACCTTTTATTTAAATTACGTCTCTTGATTCCAGAGCAGTATAGATTTTGATTCTGCAAGATGGTATGTGCAGAATGAGTTTCAAAGCTAGTACCGGGAATTCGTTCTTATCTGAGGGCCAAAAAGCTTTTCGTGCAATCAAGGGACGAATGAATAGCTTCGATTGACGTCAGTTGTGTATATAAATATAGCCAGAAGCATTTTTGATTGTAAGACGATGACTTACAATTAATGGAATAACAACCAGTTACGTATAAAAGTTATGTAAGAAATTCAAAAACTATTTATTTATGATTATAAACGCAGTGAAAGAAAAACTATAATAACTACAAGTTATTTCCATAATCTTTCAATATTCAAAACGTTGACTGAAATTATACCCGAAAATCATGAACACACCATGGTTTCTGTGCAGTATCAATATTCAGATCTTATCAATTTAATTAGAACATTGACGCTTAAAAATGTAGATTTGAGTTTGCTTAAGTGATGTTATTCTTTAAGAATATTAGCTTTCTTTTTTTTACTTGTGCCCTAAAAGGATTCATTTTTTTTCAGTTACACCGATTTCTTCAGATCAAAAACTTGTAAACTTGAGATAGTGAGCTTGTTGATCAGCAAATAACATTATAAAAACTCTGATGTTGGAAATATGACTCTCAAAGTTAAAAATATCACACACAATATTATTGTTTCACTTTTTAACCGCTGTTATTACTTGCGCATGAAAATTTTTGTATTCTATTATTATCGCGATCTGCAATATATAAATTCCCTTGTAAATCAAATTTAATTCCAACTGGACTACTAATTTGATATGGTTGGTAGTCCCACCCTAAAGTTCCACCAGCAATTATGATTCCTTGTGATGTATACGGTATCCACTTTACTATACGATCTATTAGTCTGATCAGATATGTACATAATACTGTTTGTATCAACTCTAATTGAAATAGGGCAGGCAAACGTATTTAACTGGGTACCTTAACAAGCGACATTTGGGCCACAGATAACTTGTGCAATAGTTACGTCATTTATTCCAATAATATTTCACTATGTGTCCGGTGTGTGTCATTCTATAATCTAGTTATAATAAGCGTTTGAGTCTCATGATTAAATACGCTGACGAGAAATCATCCAAATAAAAGTGGTCTTAAACTTTTGCCCGCCACTTTATATCAAGCATTAGAGTATATGATTTTACTCGTTACAGAGTATGTATTCGTATTCATATATGTATATATGTTTATAAATGCTTGGTATTCTGGGATTTTACTTGATACAGAGTTAATTCTGTATTTTGCCTAGTACGTTCACGATGTCGTCTGTGGCATTCGGATAGTTGCAAAAACTACAGAAATAATTTCAACTGTTTACATAAAAGTAATTACTTCTTTTTCTTTCTAAAGTCTTTAATTTTGCGAAAGAAATCATTGACAAAGAAGAGATTACTCTTTGTGTCTTTGAAATCACTACATGTTTTGAGCATCATTGACTATTAAGACTAATTGTGCTTGTTATTTTTTTAGATTAAATTATTTACTCATTTTCGTTTGGCTAGTTTGAAAACATGCATTGTTAAAAATCAAATTTAGTGGTCTTATTCAATTAAAAAATAAGATTTCTTTTGTAAAATCAAAGACTTTAGAAAGAAAAAGAAGTTATTACTTTTATGTAAATAGATGAAACTTTTTGTACTTTTTACAACTACAAAAATAATTAAATTCAGAGCACGAAAACAAAAGGTAAGACTGACATAATAAAGAAAAATAATACTCTGAACGATAAGTGAATTATCAAACAATGTCGAATGGGATTCGAATAACAAGAGTGAGTAAAGAGCAATTGAAAGTAAGTGTGTTCTTATCAGTTATTAGTGTTAAACATAATGCATACAAAACTTAACAATTAAAAACATCTAGAATATATTTGGCAATAAACATAAGAGACGAACGATTCGTTCCGTATGTAAAATGGAGAGATCTATAATCCATACATTCGTTATGCAATTATTGTTCTTGTTTCATAGAAACGATCGTTAATCAAGCGATCACATAACTTACATGTATGGGTAATTTCTTTCTCTAGATTGTATAATCGTAAAAAACATATCTTTCTCTTATTCTCTCTACAGAACGATTATAATTCAACAACAAAGCAATCTAATTTTTATCAGAAACAAGTAAATCTCGTCAATATCTCTAGTTGAAAGTCTTTTGTTTCCTTCCTGTGGAGTGTTTCATTATTCAACCTTGATGATGATAAATAGAATCGTAATTTACAAGTAAACGCTACAATATCATCGGATCTTCTCCAGAAATTTGAAATAGATCGAGTTAATGCTTCTCAAAAAAATTTGTTTGTACGAAGACTATACTTCAAAAAGTAAATAGTTGATGGAAGGGAGTTTTGTTTTAAACTTTCTTACATATAGGATCTTAAACTGCCATCTCACAAAATTCCAAATCAATCGATCGCTCTTAACGAAACTGTATTTTGGTTTGACTGTCTGCTCTTCTGAAAATGTGGATGATTTCATTTTTCTACATTTACGTAGGAAACTGCCAATTGTAGTAAACGATCGACAAGTATACGACAAAGTATTCTTTCGTCTAGTTTACAAATAACTTTCACTAAGCTGAATGTGAGTCATCTTTATTATATAGTTTGAATATTAAAAGTATTTGTCATTTATTGTAGAAAGAAAAACGAAAAGAATCGTTGCAACGACAAAGGAAAATATCTCCATTAAACAAGAGTCTACCAGATTTAAAAGTAAATTAACTGCTTTGTAAAAGATATGGAAGCTCAGTATTACTCATACAAAAATTTTTGATTAAAATGAAAGTTCGGAAAAAACAGTTCTGAGTAGAAATGCAACTTATCTCGGAAGAGAATCTCAAAAAATGTTGCATAAACCGAGCCTCAGTGTTCAAAAATTTAGTTTTTTCGTTTTTTTGAGACAAATATTTCCCCAATTCAGCTTCATTACTATTAGTTCCGAGATCGAGCCAGTTTGCTTAACTCTTCTTATCCCACAATCATCTGATGATGCAAATCAATTTTAGGAATTACCATCAGTTAAATCCAACAATAGTAGTGCATGGTTATATAACAGTGACGAATCAATCATCATCAAACAGAAAAAAGAACAAGAACGACAACGTAGAAAAGGTCGATTTTATCTTAAGAAACCACTCAGGTTTTTATACATATATAGAAAGTCTCAGAAGTAGAATATTATTTTTAAATTCATCGTTTATTTTGTATCAGATGTTGTGGATATCTGATCACACCATTCCTCTGCGGAGTATTTACATTACTTACAGTTCTTGGTTTATTAGTTGTGGGAACGATTATCGGTACTATTGTGATTCTAATACAGGGTAGCATATAGGATGAATATGTTCTTAAAAGTATTGAACGTACACAATGAGTTTTCTTTAAAGAACGAGAGCCTACCCAAATTACGTCAGCAACTACTACTGTTGTAACGTTTACATCAATGATAAGCACCAGTGCAGCCACCACAACTATAATCACAACTACTAACACTGGCACGACAGGTAAATTAGATGTGTACAATTTACTCAATTTAATTAGATAGTACAATTTTTCTGTTTGTTAAAGACGTTTTTATTTTATATATTGTATAGCAACAGCGACTGTTTTAACGTTTGCATCAATGGCAAGCACCAGTGCAGCAACCACAACCGTAATCCCAACTACCAGTGCAGCAACCACAACCGTAACCCCAACTACGAGTGCAGCAACCACAACCGTAATCCCAACTACCAGTGCAGCAACCACAACCGTAATCCTAACTACGAGTGCAGCAACCACAACCGTAATCCCAACTACCAGTGCAGCAACCACAACTGTAATCGCAACTACCATGACTGACACGACAGGTAAATTCGATGTGAAGTACAATTTTCTCTCAATTAAAGACGTTTGTATTTTATTTTCTATATAGCAACAACAACCTATTATCCACCTGAATGTTCTAATTATACAACAGTTAATGATCCAACGCGAAACATAAATTATACTGCAACAAATACATCATGTGATAATACTTTTTTTTCATACGCTGTAGCAAAATGGGTACGATTTGTGGGAACAGGTGGTACAGTTGTACCAACATATTCTATTCCTGTGAATCATTGTGGTGGCTATGGCACTATGTGGTTTAATGGTACATATTCATCAACAGTTTATGGTACACAAAATAGTTTAATATGTGTTACATGGGGACTTGTTCCTTGTTATCAGAGCGGCTATATTTTTATAACAAATTGTAATACGTATTATGTGTATGCAGTGAGAGGACCAATCTATTGTGCTCGTTATTGTACATTATAAAGGGAAAAGAAGAAAAAAGATAATATTACTTTCATATATGTACTCTCAATGCAGCAGCCTAGAAGAATTAAAAAAATCGAAGTTAGACAGAAGAAGTTATCTTTTTCTATAAGGTATTTTTTTTTCCATTCAAAATGTTGATGATCAAAACTGTATATCAATAGTCTGGAAACCAGAATCTTAAAAGGGATCAAAATATTAAATGAATCAATCTTTACAAGATAAGAAAGTAAGAGGGGTATAGTTTAATCACTCAGTAGGGCAACCAGACACTTCTGACCTTTGGCCGAGTCTTAAAAAGACTATCGGGCAACGATGCTTCTGCTGGACTAATATTCTTGTCGAACAAACCCTTGTGACCTGTCAAAAGCTTTCGCAGAATCAAGTGCTATTCCAATCGTAAGTCTTCACTGCTCCAAATGCTTATCTAGCTGAATGGTGATGAAGGCCGTCAGCGGCTGAAGAGTAGCCGAAGTTCGAACTGCATCTTAGAGAGAAAACCAGTTTCACTGAGATGTTATAGTAAAGACTTGTGAAGCTCAAACGTTCGCTGATGTTTGATAAGAGACAGATAAGTGGAAAGTTGGAAAATTGAGCACACACGTGCTTTTTGTCGATAGCTGTATAATCAGCAGCTGTTGCATAATTTGGGAAAAATTTCTTGTTGACTAGAAGTTGAAATAGATGATGGAGTTGCGGAGAAATAGCCTTAAAGTATAATTTCAAAAACTGAACATGAATGCTATCGACTCCAACTGACGGTTCGGGAGTATGAACTATATCCCGAATGGAATAATATCCCCATCGGGCTACAGTTATGCTCCGATCACGTTGTGTATCTCAGATATTAAAAGTGCGTACTAACCAAAAAAATTCTAGAATTTGTTTTAGTTCAGAAGGCAGAGCTACTATGTTTACATTGAATCACCTGTTAGAATTAGTGGAGCGTCTTGTTTTATTTGAAAAGGTGGTCATGATTGATTTTTCTGGACTGAGGACAGCGGTAAAGATTACAAAGGAAAAGTATGCACTTAGCGGCCTTGATTTCAAATCAAAATGATCATAGATTCTTTAGAAATTACGATTAAAAGTATGCTGATTATCGTGCCTTACATAAACACTTGTACGTTTCGAGTAAAATCGATTTTGCCTACTGTATCTCAACATAAGTTTTAGGAATCATTAGAAAGTGCTTGGCTTTGATACTTTGGTTTTTAGAGTAAGAGAATGTGTTTCTCGGATCTTAATTGGAGGACCGGGTTTAGCTAGCAGGTAAAATGGAGTAAATGTTGAAATTTTGGAGTAATTTGGATCGATTTTGGCTGACTTAGGAGTGCACTGGCTTTTATTCGTATTTTTCAAACATTCATAATAAATGGTTTGCATTTTCGTAAAAACGAGTTGCATCATTTTTTAAGACAGCAGTTTTGTACCGAAAACATTTCTCTACAAAATGGTATATAGTAGTTAATTTTAAAGTTTTCGGATTTCTTTAAAAAGCATAATTGATAGAGAGGCATATCGGTTAGAACCGACGGTTTTAAACGACTGTAGTTTCGAGAAAAACGCTTTCTAAAAGGAAACAAAATGTATACTTTCTGTATACTGTCCTGCAGAGAAATATTTTCTCTACAAAACTATCGTTTTAAAGCAATGTTGCAAAACGTTTTTACGAAAATACAAACCATTTATTATGAATTTTTGAAAAATACGAATAAAAAACTGATGCACTCCTAGGCTGAGTTATGAATTTCATAATTTTCTGTCGAAATAGGTGAACATGAATTATTCCACCTAGTATACGCTTCCACTAGGCTCTTTGAATTTTCTTCTGGAAATAAACATTGCCATGAGAATTAGAAGGGTCAGAAACTTAAATCCCTCCCCGTAATACAAGACCACGTGGTCTTTTATTTTGTTCGACAATTCAAAACTTTGAGGATGGTGAAAAAATTACGAGTTCTGGTGCTTTTTGGAATAGCTCTGTCCCGGCCGAGCAAAGAAAAACCAAGAATATTAGTCCAGCAGAAGCATCGTTGCCCGATAGTCTTTTTAAGACTCGGCCAAAGGTCAGAAGTGTCTGGTTGCCCTACTGAGTGATTAAACTATACCCCTCTTACTTTCTTATCTTGT